CATACAAGTCTCAGTTCTGGTTTTTAAATTTCCCTTTCACCTGTGAATGCAGTGTTCAGCGCATGTGACCAGCACTAAACTTAACAGTCAGCAGGATATGAATCTGTGTGAATCACAACTCCATACAGAAGAATTTGAAAAAGCGCCACTGGTTTTTGCAACTTTATTTTACATAATTTTAAAAATTATTTGCAAAACAAAGTGATGATGCAGTTTTATTCCCCAGTGTTCAGTTTCAGCTCAAGGCCTAATTGATTCCAAGTTTTAATGAAAACCTCAGTATTGCTCCTGCTAAACGTTACAAACACCTTGTAAAACAGTGTGACAGACTAACCCTGTGCTACAGTATGTTTGACTTTTGAAATTTGCTCTCCCAAAGCTGACAATCGGATGATTTCTTCAGAAAAATCCTTTTCAGCACCTCCCAAATTACAGGTTAGTGACGCGAACCCTGAATCACTCATGACTGAACCTCATATATCTCATCCAAGTCAGATTTTAATTCAGTTTGACTTAATATAGCACCAAATCACAGCAACAGTCGTCTGTCAGATCCAAGCTCAGGGAGGGGCAGCCGTGACCAGTTGGGGGTGAGGAGAGGGAAACGAAAGACACAACGCCGAAGAAACCCGAGATGAATAATAGTTTAAATGCAGAGTGGTGTAAAAACACACAGAGTAAAAAGAGGGGATTGAAGAAGAAACACTCATGCATCATGGGAAGCCCCTAGGCCAGGGGTCAGCAACCTTTAACACCAAAGAGCCACTTGGACCCGGTTTCCACGCAAAAGAAAACACTGGGAGCCGCAAATACTTTTTGACATCTAAAATGAAGATAACACTGCATATATTGGTTTTTACTTTTATGCTTTGTGTGAACAACTAAAGTAAGTAAGTAAAGTTTATTTATTAAGCGCTTTTCACAGACAGGCAGTCACAAAGCGCTGTACACAAATATTAAAATAAACAATACAATCGATAGACATTATACACAATGTAAAAGATCAAATGTAAAGAACGTAAAGAATATAAAATACGTAGATCAACAAAAGGCTTGTTTGAACAGAAAAGTTTTTAACTGCTTTTTAAAAGAATCCACGGAACAACTAAGGTGTGCTGCTTATGAAATCCATGAAGTGCTGCAGAGAAAATTACATTTTATTTAAGTAATTAACACATTTTGAACTCTTAAAGAAATATAACAAAAGGAAAGACACCCAGCTGAACTACAATTATCCAGCAAACTAAAACTGCTGTGAGCCGCCACCTTATATCGCCTTTGGGCTTTTGGAGCCTTGACCTGACTTTTAAAAAATAACTGGGAAAAAAGCTCTATGCTGCTGAAAAATAGATATTTGCAAAATTCTGTCTAAATATGTATTTTACCTGGTTAATGTGTGTGGCGGGGCGTGGTCTGCTGTGCCGCTGCAGGGGAGGCGGACGCACCTGAGCGGCACCCGCAATCAGGCCTCGCCGCCTTAATGTCTGTGCTCTCTCTGCTGTTGTGTTGGTGTGTCGGGCTGACACAGGATGATTTTAATAATAATAATCTGGTTGGATACATTGTTTCTAATATACAATAACCACAGTTTGATCTGAATTTGGAAGCAGGATGTTAGCGCTCATCCAGGTCTTTGTCTTTAAGGCATTCATGTGATGTAAAAAGGTGTGTGTCACCTGGTGTCATGGGTAGATAAAGCTGGGTATCATCTGCATAGCAATGAAAATGTATGTTATGGATTCTAATAATACTTCCTGTATAAACATGTGCAGAACTCTTTGATAGTTTGGACTTTTATTACCAACTGCTTTTTGTATTCTTCAACTGTTCATTGTCTTACTGGCTAATTTAGTAAACTTTTAATAATCATAACCCCCATTTGCATTTTTATCTGACAAAACTGTTCAAAAATATATAATTTTCATAGCATGGACATATTTAATAGAAACATTTAAACATAAAAGGCAACCCAAGGACTTGAAGATAGTGTGTTACTGTAAGAGCAGCTGTGATTTTGATGTGTTTTACCTGCTGTAGACCGTCATCACAAAGTATTTATTTTAAAAGCAGAAGTATTTTACTTCCCCACTCAGCTGTCTTATGTTCTTACTTTACAGTCGGTTATGGAGTTAGCTGTGCCAATTTCAGACTCAGTTATGGTTTCCGTTGCTTTTTGATTTTGCGAGGGAAACTTCTCAGCAGATTTATTGTGATGGGGCCACTTATTGATTCTCGGAGTGTGTGAAACAAACAGGGTGGCAGTGTGTTAAAAATCAGATGCAAAGGTGGGAAAACACAATCTGAGGCAATCCAGTACATAACAAGAGGATGTGCAAGATGCTAGCAGGCAGGGTGTGCGTGTGTGTGCGTGTACTTTGATGTTGTTCCCATCTCCTAATTCTTCACCTCTTTCCCTTCATAATCCCTCATCCCCCCTCTGTCTCCTGCAGTTGTCAGAATTATTTCTCTCCTTTGAAGAGAAGCCTCAGGGTGCAGCTTCCTTAGCACAGGTCCACAAGGCAGTGCTGCATGATGGAAAGACGGTGGCAGTCAAGATCCAACACCCCAAAGTCCAGAAACAAAGCGCCAACGACATCCTAGTAATGGAAGTGAGTCTCTGTCTGTTCAACTGCTTTTGAATGAGTTAGGACATGTGGGGCTGGTCCATTGGCCTAATGCAAATCAATCAGTTTAAACTTATGATCAGTTTATTGACAACAACTTTGTCAGCTAGTAGGTTTATCATTAACGCTGTCATTGAAATTCAAGTGTTCCAGTCGCTTCCGTGCCAGACGAACATTTTTGAAACAATAGGCAGTTCACAGGAGCTTAGCCAGCAGGTACCAGGGTAGGATGCCACCTGTGCAACAAGTCCAGCTGTCACCTTTCTGCACAATGAACTATTCCACAGCAAACTGTAAGTGGTATAATAACAAAGTGGAAGCTACTATGTACCATGTATATCTGTTGAATTTTGAGCTGAATTGAAGTATTCGTTATAGCCTGAAAAGATGACTTTTCACATTTACTGTTCAACCACATTTTGAAAGAAAGGAATATTTTGTAAATGCCTCGTCAGCTGATTCCACCCAGAGAAACACCCCTCGTCCGGTATCGAGATCGTTGTATTGTGACGTGGTTGTTCTAACCTCATGCACGTTAGCAGATTTGACGACACTCCTTTAGAGCAACATCTGTTTTTACATGCTGAGCAGTTCTAACCTTGACTAATGAACTCAGAAGAGCCTCTTCCACAAGTGATGAAGCTCATCTCGTCTGCTGTTCCAAACAGCACTTTAGCCAGGAGCGCAGCTAAGTGCCGGCATTAAGCGATGATGTAGAGAGTTGCTGAACAGCAATTTTCTGTCCTCACACTTGATTTGCTTAGTAATGATCTTTGCAGGGAGAGTCTAATCAGCCACTCTTATAATATGTATTAATATGTTGAGAGGGTACCGTTGTATATATGTTTGCTGTTTTATTATGCTTACAGTGAGACTGATTCTTCTTTTTTGGATATATGTATTTAATTTGAAGGTGTTGTTGAAGGCGGTTCATTGGCTCTTCCCGGACTTTGCCTTAATGTGGTTGGTGGAGGAGGCCAAGAAAAACATGCCTCTGGAGCTGGACTTCCTTAACGAGGGACGCAATGCTGAGAAGGTGGCCGACATGTTGGCCCACTTTCACTTTCTTAAGGTACTGATATGGGCATGCATGAAAATGAGACTTCCCTTTAGAGTAACAGTGTAACAGTTTTGTGTACACATGTATTCTAAACAGCTGGTTTTAATTTAAGGACTTTGATTTATAAAATATGATTCTTACAGTTACCAGAGGTCAGAGTTTTTATGGTCTATGAGAGCTTCCCGTTTGCTGCGTTGTCAGTTATCATTAAATTTTTCTGGTGCTGTTTTTGAGACTTGCTTTTCTCTTTTTTGGTTTTTATGTTCTTACAGTTAGAAATGTTACTTTTTGTTTAAAATCCTTTCTTGTCACGGTGTATTGTGCATTTTTATTGCTTCAATTTAACTTGACGGAGACATAAAATTTGGCAGAATAAAAGATGATTTTGTTCAAATTTGGTCCAATAACAAATGTAATTGTTAATTGTTTTCACAGGCTCATCTGTCATTCTGCCGACTTTTATGTTTCTTACTCACATTTTTCTCCTGTAAACTGTAATGAGTGGAATTTAACTAATTTTCAACTGAATGTTACTAAATAACCTAAAGTACACTAGATTTACTCCTTTGAAGCAGTTGTTTCATTTCATTTAAAATAGTACCAGGATAAGAACTGAGCCTTCTAATGAACCTCTGCTAAACAGCTTCACAGGAGACTGAACGGTGAGTAAATGTGAAAAAGATATAGAGGATAAACCTGCACATCCCATCGTCTCCTGCACATCTCTCTGTCCAGATTCCCATGATCCACTGGAATCTCTCCACCAAGAGAATCCTGACCATGGAGTTTGCAGACGGGGGCCAAGTCAATGACAGGGATTACATGCAGACACATGGCATCAATGTCAATGAGGTACTGCCTGCACTCTGATGGTTAATGGTTAATAGCTTACTGACTAATATTCAAGGTCGTGCAGGTGTGAGCTGTGTGCGACGGTTGTCCCCCCTCCCACCCGTCTGTATCTACACAGGACGTGTCCTGACGTCCTGTGTGTCATCTTTTCACCCCTCAGCTGTAAAAGGCTGATGGGTACTGTCATCACCACCTGGGTGGGAGGGCGCTGTGGACACCCATTAATGTGAATCCAAACTCTCATGAAGGAAGTCACTTAGCATTTTCAAATTGATACCATAAGTGTGTCTACTAAAAGTCTCTGAGATGTTTGAATCCCAGTGACTTTAACAATGTCAGAGGCCAAATTTTCTGAAAATCTTGTGAACACAATAAATCGAGAAAGGTACCACCTAGGATCTTTAAATAATACTATTGGTGCATCTACTAGGACGCTAAGGGGTAGCACTGGCGGCTACCAGTATTTTTATTTATGCACAACTGTTTTAGTAGCAAAACGCATTAAACACAGGAAAGAGTGTTCATAGCAAAACTAAAAATAGTATTTCTGGCCAACTTTTGTCCATGAACATTTCGTGCTAACACTGACTACAAATCTGTAAAAAAGAAAAGAAAAGAAACAAACGCCTGCAGGACAAGGAAACAGTCCTGTAGGCTATGTAGGTGTTAGTGCCTCGTCGGGTGTCCTTCCCCCAGCCAGGAGGGCTCCCTGTCAGTGGTCGGCTTAGCGTTGAGTCAGCATAGCCTGCTAGCTCAGGAAAGGATTCCAGCGAGGACGGGTCAGACAGTCCAACATCGCTGCGCTCTCTCAGTCACAATAAGGTCCCTCGGTCACAGTGAACTTTTGTGTGGTTAGGAAGAAGAAAAGAAAAAAAAAGAAGTAACTTGACTCAAAGAGCTCCGCAACGTCGACCTCTGGCAGGCGCCATCTTGGATATCAGTACTCCAGGAACCACCTCTGTGTGTGGAGTGAAGCTGTGAAACAGTGTAAGTGAAGAACTGAGGCAACGTCGCAGCATGACGCCGTTTGAAAATATGGTTTTTGCAAATCCTTGTAATTGTCTTGATTCTGTTCACCTGTTCGTTCGGTCTCCCTCCTCTTGTCTCCACTTTACTCCAGAACATTATGTTTATTGTTTCTGACTATTGTATTTTCTAAAACCTAAAGAGAATTATGGATTTGATCAACTGGTCTCTGAATGCTATTGACACCCTTTTCTCAACGAGAAGTCTGGGCTCGGGAGAGCCCGAGTGTCCTGGAGGTACTTTCCCTGCCGGATACACGATGGACGGGTGGCAGAAATGGAGGATCGTGTGCCTGGCGGGACTGTCGATCGAGGACGCTGAAGATATCTACCTATTCGAAACCATGATAACAGGGTTGTTGCTGATCGGAGCTGGCTTGGCCCTGGCTTATCGGAGAATTAAGAAAGCGGAACCGGCTGTTCAAACGCCCACAAGACTGCCCGCTGGAACTGAAGCGATGGGACGAGGCGCGACCTCTCAGAAAGGGCTCACTGAGTGCAGCATGGATAAGATCTTGGAGAAGCTTACGGCTGCAGTGAATACTCAGAATAAGACCTCTGAGCGTACATTGGATTACATCAGGGAAAAGTCCACTTCAAACAACACCTCTGAGTGGTAGTCAGATTACATCTTGGAGCAGCTGACTGCGGTCGTGAGGTCTCAGAATCTGCTCTTTGAGCACAAGAATGACAACACCACAGAGCACAAGTTTGATAACATCATGGAGAAACTTGCGGTTCTCCAACGGGAGATTGAGAGACCAGTGTTGGAGTGTTAAAGAACAGCTTTGAAATTCTCATGACCATCATAATGCGGCTACCCCATCGGCGCCAGCTGTGGGCTCAAAGCCGGAGCCGCACAAAAACTCCCTGATAACGACTGTGTTGAGTCTGTTCCTTCCCATTCCATGCAAGGCCACCTGGGTTGGCTGGAAGACTGTTTACTTAGCCTGGCAGGGCGAAGGACACTGTCTCAGCTGAACTATGGACATGCACACACATACATATACTGATACTGATAAGCACTCACCGACGCATCACCCTCCCTACCCTGGATCCAACGCCACCTCCAATGCTTACCTCCCCTCTGATGTGGACATCGGGTCAGTTGGAGGCGCAGTTGAAGATTGCAGCGGTCCCAGATCAGATGTACACACTGGAACTCTTTCCCATGTTGCTGTCTGTGTTTATTGTGCTATGGTGTGTTGATATCTGTGCATTCCTGTATTATCCTTCTGTGTTACACATTTCAATGTTTTTTTTTCCTCGCTACCTAGCCTGACCTGTCTCCCCAATGTGATGTTTGTGTATTGTATGTACGGTCGGCAAGGTCTGTCATCTCGGTTGTGGGCAAAAGACCTGCAACTGACAAATAAAGGCTATCTCTCATCTCTCATCTCACCTGATTAGTAGGTTAGTGCTTTTCCTGCCATCAGCTTTGAAGGCTTTTTTCCCCTCTTTGTCTTTGTAGTAATTAAACTGCATTTTTCTTGGACTCACTGCCATCAGACTCATTTATTTCTTCTGCATTTGGGTCAAAAAGACAGAAAAACTTCTACATTTTCTTTCTTGAACAGCACAAACCAAGAACTGCTGAACTCTTATTTTAAGCTTCTTCTCTCTTCTTCTTTTTCTGATTTAACTTTACACATTCCCCTTCATCTTTTCAACAGATCTCAGAAAACCTGGGCAAGATGTACAGTGAAATGATCTTTGTCCACGGCTTTGTTCACTGTGACCCCCACCCAGGCAATGTGCTGGTCCGAAAGTGTCCGCAGACCAAAAAGAACGAGATTGTTCTGCTTGATCACGGCCTGTATCAGGTGGGAAATCTCGATCTTGCCTGTGCAGAAAGAAAATGCCATTTGTTCCAATATTGCTGTCCATTTTTCATGCTGTTGGCTGAGGCCTTGAGTCAAAGGGTAGACAGCTAAGATGCACATGAAAAATAAACATACACACTTTAACAGGCACACTTTTATTAGAGCTACACAGGATAAAAGCTTTTTGATAAACAACTCATTTGATGTTGTTCTCAGCAGAGTGCTGTGTTTGAATGCACCACCGCCTTAATAATACAGGCACATGTGTGCACTCATGTCCTAGACACACAAACAAACACACACACACACTCCTTGATTATTAACACACTCGTTCTTTCAAACACCCACAGTCTGATACAGACATGGACCATTCTTCCATAAGTTTATTTTCTGCCTATTTCTTTGTGCATAAAGAGGATTTTAGTAATAAATATGCAACTCCATCATTTTTGACACACAGTACCAGTACACAGAGACTTCCCTTGGATCGTAATAGCACCAATTTATTCCTAATGATTTGAGATTTCATCTGTGATTTTGGAGAAGAATATTAATCAAGTTAAGATAGACACACATACACATACTCATGTTCAGTGTTATTACCAGTAGGATACTATGCAGGGCTTTTGTGCTCCAAGTGCTGGAGTTGGTAAATGGTTCTTAGCAGGGGGATTAAATATGCCTAAAGTAAGAAATGCATTAAGAGATGAAGCAGATTTCTCTCTTTTTGTAACCCTAAGCCCTAAAAGCCTGAAGAGACACTGTGGTAACTGCTTGGACATCTTGGTTTGTGAATGTGATAACTATCTCAGTGACCTCGAGGTCAGAAGTCAAGTTTTCTGAAAAAAATGTGAATGCCTAGGATGTTCAAGTTGATACCACAGGTGCATCTACTGAAAATCTCAGATGGGTTCAAGTCTCAGTGACCTCAGTGATCTACTACAGTGTAAAACAGTGAATATAGTACTGGTATTACTGCCCAGTCTCTTACCTGTGAACCAGTCACTCTTAATCACATATTCTCTGCTGCCTCCATAGGTTCTGCAACCAGACTTCAGGTTGAACTACTGTCAGCTGTGGCAGGCTTTGATTAAGGGCGACATGTCAGGGGTGGAGCGTTACAGCCGCAGACTGGGCGCTGGGGATCTGTACCCCCTCTTTGCCTGTGTACTGACTGCTCGGTCCTGGAAGGCGGTGAATGCCGGTATTAGTTCTGTACCTGTCACCCGTTCCGAGGTATGAACTTGTACACACTCAAGCTTACTGTTACTTCATCATCTTATCCTCTCAATTTGACCTGAAACCATGACAGACTGGTATTACTGTTTTATTACTACTGCTGTGAACGTTAATAAGAGTAAATTGTAGTGTAATGGATCATTTTAGGTTTTGGCTTTGACACCGTTGCTGGGTTGATTGTACATTGGTCCATTGGTAATGCCTCAGCGCTCCAGTAGGGGGATTCATGCAAATAAGAAAAGAATGCAATGATTTGCAAATTAATTCAACCCATATTTTATTTGCAGAAACACAGAAACACAGAAAATACATCAAATGTTTAAACTGAGAAAATGTACCACTTAAAAACAAAAAGCAAACAATATGATGAAGACAGCGAGACAAAACACAATGAGGGTACAAATAACTGCAGAAGTTAACACAACTGCTGGGAACACACAGGTCCAAGCAACTGGGAAACGAGACTGGGAAACTAAAACTGAATATTAAACACACAAGACAAGGGCTACCAAAGTCAGAGAGGAAATAACATAACGGAATACCTAACACAGAGACGAAGGGAAGTGGAGAACTATGGCTGTAAAATTACAAGAGTGTACAGAACCGACAATATCTATAACTGGGGAATAAATACAAATGGAGTACACTACGGTCTACAGGGATAGAAGAGAGAAAACTGTACATAACTGAACATAAACAATGAGTCCAAAATATACAAAATGCTTCGTCAGAGATCCAGGACCCTGACAGAAGCAACAAAACCGTCCTCTCAAAAATATGTTGTCTTAATAGGAGCATATGTGGCCTGTAAACCTGTATGTACTATTCAGCAGGCATGGTGCCTTTCCAGATGTGTACTAATGTACCTCCATGCCACCTGACTCCTCAGGACTTGCCTAACCCTCTGGAGGTACTTGGTGGTTGCAGCTTTTCTAGCGGCCTCTTCATGGTTCCCATTCGCCTGCGGGATCCCCAGGTACTTGTAACTGTCCTCTATGTCTGCAATGTTGCCTTCTGGTAGTTTGATCCCCTCCGTTCTGACTACCTTCCCTCTCTTTGTTACCATCCGACTACACTTCTCCAGCCCGAACGACATTCCTATGTCATTGCTGTATATCCTGGTGGTGTGGATCAGTGAATCGATGTCTCGTTCACTCTTGGCATACAGCTTGATGTCATCCATGTACAGGAGGTGGCAGACAACTGCTCCGTTCCGTAGTTGGTATCCGTAGCCAGTCTTGTCAATTATCTCACTGAGGGGGTTCAGGCCTATGCAGAACAGCAGTGGGGACAGAGCATCTCCTTGGTAGATCCCGCATTTGATGGTGTCTTGTGCTATGGGCTTGAGGTTGGCCTCCAGTGTTGTCCGCCACATCCCCATCGAGTTCCTGATGAAGGCTCTCAGGGTCCTTTTGATCTTATATAGTTCTAGGCATTCCAGAATCCAGGTGTGGGGCATTGAGTCATAGGCCTTCTTGTAATCAATCCAGGCAGTGCACAGGTTGGTCAGTCTGGTCCTGCAGTCTTGGCTGACTGCTCGGTCTACCAGTAGCTGGTGTTTTGCACCTCTGGTATTCTTGCCCATCCCTTTCTGTGCCCCGCTCATGTATTGACCAATGTGCCTGTTCATCTTAGCCGCTATGATGCCTGACAGGAGCTTCCACGTGGTGCTGAGGCAGGTTATTGGTCGGTAGTTGGAGGGGACCGGTCCCTTCTTGGGGTCCTTGGGGATCAGGAC